CAATGATCTACATATAACCCCCTCCCAGGGGGACGGACAACAGAAAAGTGGGTGAAGTCATACAGTGTAAGACATTACAAAATAATAATAATTTATAAATTATCAAGGGTGAGGGAAGGAGGGAGGGTGGGGAAGGAGGGGAAAAATGCGGAGTTGATACTAAGGGCTCAAATAGAAAGAAAATGTTTTGAGAATGATGATGGCAACAAATGTACAAATGTACTTGACACAATGCATTTGTGCATGGATTGTGTTGAGAGTTGTAAAAGCCCCCAATAAAATTATTTTTCAAAAGAAAAAAAAATATATATATATAATCTTAAATGAGTTCTCATTACTTCCCATCTGACTGTTATGTATTTTTTGGCTCCCAACACACAATATTACCTTTAATACTACCTACCTCAATAATGGACATGATTTTTTGAGGGTTTCCTAGAAGTGTGAAGGGTAAAGTTATGTCTTAACTGGCTAGGCCATGATGTGTATTACTCACACGTGTTCAGATGTGAACAGCCAATCAGTTGAAAGGGTATTCCCTTAAGGTGTATAGCCTGCATCCAATGTATAAGGATGTTCTGGCAAAGCTCAAGTTCTCTTCATCCTGCATCTGGCCTCTGTTTCTTAGGATGTGAGCCAGCAGCCTGCCATCTGACTTGCTAAATTTCACTTCATCAGCCCATTGAAGCCTGCAGCCCAACACACATATTTGGGACCTGCCAATGTCAACAGCTGCATAAGCCATTTCCTTGAAATAAGTCTTTTGAGATTATTTCTCTAGATATAATACATTTATATATATACATATATTTCACTGATTTTGCTCTTCTAGAAAACCCAGCTTAAGGCAAATGTGCATGATCATTCCCAACTTTATTAGATGTTTCCTCCTCCACTTTTTAAGAACAGCAGGTCGGTTTTCCTTTCATTATCAAAGTTTTTCATTTGGTGTCTCTTCCTCATTTTGAAATCCTACTTCAAGCTCTGGATCTTTGTCTTCCTCAGTAGTCACTGGTCCAAACCCCAGCCTTGACTTCTCTGTGGGAATCACAGAAGCATTTTCATCGTAGGAAGGTCTGTAACTGATGTGGTTGAGAAAGGAGATTATCCCTAGAGAAAGAAAAATTTGAGGTGAGGTTCAATAAATGACTTGTCTTTTGGCTTTTAGAATTTTTACTCACCCTACAATACTTATTCAAAAAGCCTCTTTTCAGTAAAGCTAGCCATCTCCTCCCACAGTAGCGTTACATTGCGCTCCTGTGTTCCCATTGCATTTCAGTGTTTCTCCCACTAGTTAAGGGACAGCTTGAAACTCTTAGGTTCAAGTTACAGTTTCTCCCCCTTGTGTGCAGTCTTAGGCAGCTTACTCAATATGTCCTGGCCTCAGTGATACAACATGAGTAAGTAAGTTTTCTGACTCCAAAATATATGCTTTCTCTATTGTTCCACACTACCTCTCAATGTGGAAATGGTCTGAACAAGGTTAGTGCCCTCCCTTTCTAAAAGTGACATCTCATCTACCCTTCTAGTGTAGGGCAAAGGGATGACTCACCCGCAAACACATATAAGGAGTCACCGCAATAACTAAGGTAATAGCTCCATAGGATGTTTGACTCCAGAACATCCCTATTATGCTGATGGACATGGGCGAGGAATAAGATGAGGCAGAGAAGCAAGCAGGTGGCTAGGACCCAAAGGAAAGATGTCAAAATCTGTGACTTTCCCGTATGTCTCCACCCCGCCCCCACCAACTTTTCTTCTGTCTCCAGAGACCAGATGCATGGCAAGCACCAAAAGGAAAGGTATTTGGGAGTTGACCTAAATGGGAAGGAGAATGGTATAGGTCAGCTAAGGTGTGTTCTATACAATGAGATGGAGCCTGGAGCTAGAAGCTAAGTGTCATATTGAAAAAAGAGAAAGGCCATGGAATAGGAGAGTGAAAGCCCTCGGAGAATCATTGTTACCTTGCAAATTTTACCATGGTCTTATCCTGCCAGTCTAGGTCTGTACCTGAGGTGAAGCTGAGCATGGATACCTTCAGATCCAAGTTGGTGATCACACTTCCTCTTCTAGGGAGGCAAGCACTGAAGAGCCATCCAAGGGCAATGAGGATGGTAAGGACAGAGATGAGGTAGAAGACCCTGGAGAATTGGAGGTAGTCTGCCAGGAGGAAGGGGAGAGGAACAGGCTTGGTTAGGCCAGTGGGGACCTCCCCTTAAGAAAGAGAGACAGGCTCAAGAGAAGGGAGTGAGGACAAAGAAGGATTGTTGGGTGGCAACAGGAGCAGTGACAAGAATCTTCTTTCCTAACTCATCATTGATACCTGGAATTTCTTTTTTTTAAATCATTTTATTAGGGGCTCATATAACTCTTATCAAAATCCATACATACATCAATCGTGTAAAGCACATTTGTGCATTCATTGCCCTCATCATTCTCAAAACATTTGCTCTCCACTTAA